GGCCACTCAAATCAATCTCTTTGATAACAATTTCACCATCAAAACCATCTTTCTTGTCGGCGGAACCGCTTGTCTTGTCATCAATTTGTTGCTTGGGTGAAACACTGCTATCAGTTTCCCTTTCACCTTTCGAGACACTATCCTCGGCCTTCACACCATCAGTTACAGCTTCAGTTTTAACATCTTTAACTGACGCATCAACTGTTTCATCTTTTTGGCTTGGCTCACTTTGCACTGTATCTGGTTGCTTTTCTCCCGTTTTATCGGCATCAGTTGAAACTTCAACGCCATGCTTGCTGCTTTCATCGATAGACGAATCAATTTTCTCTTCATCTTTGGCAATTCCCGGAGGCTTTATCTCTGTTTCAATGCTGGAACTGTTCTGAGGCTTGCGCTCTGCTTCAACTTTATCGCTACTTTGGCTATCAACACCTTTGTCAGTGCTTCGACCATCGACCGCTTTTTTGGCGCTTGGAATGTTATCATCTTTTTCGGCAACCTCAGAGTCGTTTTCATCCTCCTTCTCACCCGGCTGTTCACCAACTGTTTTCTGTTCAGCTGCTGTTTGTTCCATGAGTTCAGTTGATTCAGTACTTTGCTCTTGCTTTTCTTTTCCATCGATCGATGAAATCACTTTTTCTTCACTAGGTTGCTTCGATTTTCCTACTACTTTCAAACCAATCAAATGAAGATTTATTTCAGGCTTTGCAGCTTTCGCTTTCTTTGCACCAACAGTCGAGCTCTTTTCTTTGCTCGGAGCAACTTGTTTGCTGCTTGCTGGTTTTTGATGGCCGAGTGTTTTTGAAACGGTTTTAGCAACACTCTGCTTTCCAACTGCAGAGGTTTTTCTTGTATCAGTCGATTTAGTCTTTTTTGCATCGGCTGTGGAAATCGGCTTCTTGATCTTTTCAATTACGTTAGATATTTTTTCGAGTGCTTTTACACCATCAGAAACCGATTTTATGGCATCAGCTTTTGGTTCAACCTTAGCATCAACTGGTGAACTGATTTTCTTCTCTCTTTTGTCGCTTTCTGGCTGTTCTGAATCTGATACATCGGACTCGTTCTTTTGCACAATGTCGACTGATTCGATCTGCGGTTTCGCAACTTGCGCTTCTTTCGATTCCTTCGGAGACATTTTCTTGCCCTTTTCCGCACTCATTTGCTTTTCTAATGGTTTTGCAGCGTCAGAGGTGGATTCCACATCAATTTTTGACTCAACTTCAGCTTCATCACTTGGCAAACTAATTTTCTCTCCATCTTTTTCTTGCTGCTTCAACTGCATTTCACCACCTTCAGAATCAACCTTTTGTGCACTGGCCACTGGTTCAATCTTCTGTTTCCCATCTATTTTCTCTTTTGACCGTTTCTGCGGGGATTTTGCTCCTTTTTCTCTCGCTCCTTTTTCCTTCTTCACATTTTCATCGGAACGTTTCAAACCCAGGAGCTTTTCCTGTTGCTCAGCTTTTGTTCCAGTCGGCGTATCTTCAATGACTTTTGTCGCAGATACTGAATGAAGTGTTTTTTTCTCTTCGTCGAATGACTTCTCAATCTTTTTCTCAGGTGATGAAATGCTTTTCTTCGGTTCAATGCGATCGGCACTTTCTTTCGATGACTGTTTTACGGCCTTAACATCTGAATCTGTTGCTGATTTTGCTGATGGCACTGTTGTGTCTGCTGGCATTGAGCTAACGTCCTTCGTGGTTGCAGTCAAATGTTCTTTCTTCGGCGAAATTTCACTTGAAGTATCAGCTACTGGTTTTTTCCCTTTCAAATCTTCTGCATCTTTCAATGATTGAATTGAATCCTCTTTTTTCACGCTAATTTCCGGAGGCTTTTCTGTAGTGGCTTGTTTCGAATTTTCACTCGTGTCTTGGGCCACCTTTTTTTCTGCTTCAGCAGTCGAATCAATTTTTTTCTCACCAATCGCTGAGCTGGAAACGGCTTTTTTCTTCTTTTTGTCACCCTTAACTTCACTTTTGAGCTGTTCCATCTTTTTATCTTTTTCATGACATGGAACTTTCTCTTTCTTCGGGAATTCCTTCTTGGGCTTGATACTTGCTTTCTTTTCAGCTTTAGACGATGGCAAATTTTCTTCAATTTTCGGTAATTGACTGACACCTTTATCGCTTACACTTGGCTGTTCAATTTTTCCTTGAGCACCAGTTTCACCAGCGACAATGGGTGCTTCGTCACTTTTTTCGACTTCAACAGACGGTTCAACTTGCTCATGATCAGCCCCTTTTCCACTTTCTTTCATCGATTCGTCGAGCCTTGTGACATCGTCTTTTCCATGTGCATTGGCAGGGCTACTTTGTGACAGCGCTTTTCCATTTGCCTGAATTTTGCTCGATTTTTCCTGATTGGTGGAAATGCTGCTGGTGAAAGTGTCAGTGGCCAAATCAAGTTTTTGAATGATGACCGTTTTTGTAACAGTTCCTTCGCCTTTTTGTGATCCAAACGAATCCGTCGATCGGGCAGTAAATGGTTCATCATCGCTATGTACGGCATGGAATGAAGCACTTGCTTGATCTTGCGAAATTTCAGTTTTTGAATCAGTGCGATCGATAACAGCTCGACTAGGAATCACTGAAACACGAGCACGATCTCTTTCATATTTCAAATCAATTGAAGCCTCGAGCAATTCTCGAAGCGCTTGAAAATCCACAACATCAGCTTTCGGTTGCGAAATTGCTTTTTTTAGTAAATCGCGAAGACGTTGCTTTTGCTTTGAACTTGTCATGATTGAAGTGAGAATGAATCTCGTGAAATTCAAGTGTACAAAGGTGATTACGATTGAAAAATCGGTTTTGTTGATTCAATTTTCCAGTGGAACTTGTCATTTGATTTTTCATTTTAGGTCACACAATTTTCGTAAGTATTCGATTCGAACGTTTTGATAAAAACAATCGAATTAAAATACTGGATTCTTGCTATGCTATTTGCTATATTGTCATAAGAGACTCATTCAACCGTACGTTCAAAAAAGGAAAGTGTTTCATTGAAAAACAACGAAATAAAACGCAAAACATCATGAGAATAAAACTCGTTGCTTTATTTATGCTTTGGTTTGTGTGATTTTCCTGATTTCATCGGTTCGTTGCCGGGATGCTCAAGTGATCCAATTCGATTGTTGAGTGTTTCCAGTTTTGTGGAAATGTCTTGCGTAAAATCGTCCAGTTTTCCTTGATATATATCCAGTTTCTTCTCAAGAGTATTTGAAATCGATGCTGTAGGTGATATCAAACCGGAAATGAATGATTCGATTGGATCTGTGGGTGATATTTGTTGTGCGATTAAAGGATCTATATTTATTTCTTTGAAATCGTCATCATCCATAACATTGCGCGTTTCTTCTTTCTTTTGTCCATCGCAATTTCCACAGTTGGGGAATTTTAGAATCAATGTCAGTTTCTTGTCCTTAGATGCTAGCGCCGTGTCGATCGGTTCAACGTTTTTGGCATCCCTTGCCGTTTCACTTAAATCAAATGAACTATCATTTTCAGATACTTCGCCTTTCAATGCAAGAAGCAATTTTTGAAGCACCAATGCTGTCTCTTCAATTATCTCGTGCAAATTTTGTTCGGACATAGTTAAAATCAAACAACAAATTTTACGTAAAAAATCAAATGTAGCGAATGCTTTTCTTTAATTGAAAGCTGAAGTGACAGCAAAAAATCGAATGCTTTGATTTGGTGAAAATTGCTTCATTTACCTCAGAAAAGTAGTTTTCTCATGAAAAGTTCAACATGTAGTGGATTTATTATTTAAGACTTGGATGGAGATTTTGTCGGAAATAACCGTTTCAAATGCAATAAAATGAAATAAAAAAACAAGTCTTTGTCGGCTATCCCAACATTTGGATGAGAACATTCAATAATTTGACATAAAAACTCTTGAATTACGTTTCATTAACCAAACATCGAGTCAATTTTTTTTATTCATATCATTCATTGGAATCTTTGTTGTTATCAACTTTATGAATCTGTTCGAGTTTAGTGATTCGATTGTCGAGTTTATCCATTTTCTCCGATAAATCCTGTGTAAAAACATCAAATCGACTGACAATCAAGTCCAATTTTCCGGTTAACTCCTTTATGTTGTTCTTCTTTTCGGTTTTCGATGACGAATCTTTTTGTTCACCTTCACCAGCATCATCTTGTTCTAGTGAGCTGCTGCTGCTGCTTTTCTTTATGCCGAGTGCTTCGGGGTGACCGATTGAAGCCGCGAGCACATCACGAAGTGCTCGAAAATTAACCACACCTGTATCTGGATTTGGAATGGCCTCTTTAACCAAATCGTGCAAATCTTCTCTTGTCTTGGGCATAATTTCAAATTCGCCGAATCCTATTTTTCTCACTTGAATCACGAATTTAATTCTCGTTTTTTTTTTCTTCTACAAAAATCAAAACGGTTTTTGAAAAATGATTGTTCAATTGAAAAGAATTGACGACAAAAACATCGATAGTTGCTTTGCTTTATATTTCTTGAGCGGGATTGATATCGATTCAAAGTCAAACCACTACAATTCTTCTACCTGTGTCACTGTCATTGTTCCGATCCCCATCGGCATTGTGCTGATGTGTGTGATTCCTTTTCTTAAAATATAAAAAGGAAAATTGTATGAACAATGTGACTCAATTTTGCGACATTTGCCAAATTATGTTAGTCGCCCTCGGGAGCAAGCCTTCTCTTTTTTCATTCGAATAGTTTTTTTTTCTCCCTTGCAAATGGCATTTCAGTCACTGGTCTTTTGTTTTATTGTTTGCCGTAATGCGTATCGACCAGAATGCCTAAATAGACACATTATCACTGGCTTTGTTTTCAAAATGACTTTGTTCGTCAGTAAAAATGAGCGGCATTAAAATTCTCCATGGGTTACATCGCCTTGAGAAAAATCGACGACAAAAATTATTGTCGTTTTTTCCTAAAAAAAAAACTTACGCATTCAATGTGTCTCTTTTCTCAGTGAGTTGAACTGAACAACTTAAACAGCCGTGTCCTTTCGCCGCAGGTAGAGAATTCGTTGTTCGTCAACAAACGTTCATTCGTTCGTTCGTTCGTTCGTTCGTTAACTCTGTAAAATATACGTTAACGTTGTGCCTGTAAAATGTCTGTTGCGCCTGCAAAACATAGTTATTATCATAACCAAGATTTTGGTTTCTGTCCTCTTTTTGGTTAAGTTGTTACGAAGCCAAGAAATGAACTGATTCGTTACACAATTGTAAATGCATACTGTGAAAATAATGATGCAGAAAACAATGGACACACCGAAGGACATATTACTTTGCTTTGCTCAGCTCACTTCGCCTGTTGTTGGCGATACTGTATGCGCATAACAATGCGTGTCTAGACAAGCATACACATACTATTTGCCTCTTGAGAGAGAGCAAAGGAAGAGAAGAGAAGATGCGAGAGCAGAGGCGAAGAGTAGAATAGTGTGTGCACAGCATCAATGGCATTGAACTAGGCAATTTGGTTTTCAATTGATGTCTTAGTTCGAAACATTATTTCACAGTGAGAAAATTTCAAGAAGTGATTTACATTTGTATCCCCCGTTGCTTCAATCATCATAATTAAGGAGCTGAACGGTCGAACGATTATTCATTCTTGGCACAAATATCAATTAATGAATGTGAGCATTTTCGGTGAAAACAATGATTGAATAATAGGTAGTAATTTCGAACGCTTAGTCAATGGAGTGGAAATATTTTGTCATTTTGAGCATCATTCAAATTGTTTCGTTCATCGATGCTAATAAAATACTGAATCATTTTTCATCTAAAAATTACTCTATATTTGCTGTTAAATTCACAAATGTTGGTCCCATTCAATTTTCTTCGAATTTGGTTTTTCCAATTTTTTCACTCTTTTATTAATTTTGCTCACTCGCCGCGATGTATCACTCACGAAATCGTCCAGTTTATCGTCCAGCAAATTCACTTGTCCGCTTAAATCACTCGCTTCCACTCTGGTTGAAGCTCTCTGTTCGGCCAATGATGTACTGTGCGTTCCGAATATTTTTTTATTAAGATCATCGCAGCACGACGCTTTGGCTATCCACCCGGTTTGCGATTCAGATATTTTCGGTGGAATTGCATCGGTTTTTTGATCACTTGCCCGTCCTGCTGCTGTCGCTTCCATTGATCCATGTTTCGACAGCAATTCACCTGCAGTCGATGCTGTGCCGCTGATCGATTCGTCACTTTGATATTCAATTTGTGCCTCAAGCAAATCATGCAGTGCTTTGAAATTTATGACCTCTGCCTCCAGTGATATTGCCTCGTCAAACAATTCGTGCATTTTTTCCTTTTTCTCCGACATCATGCGAAATGTGTACTGTAAATTTTAACTTCAAAACACACAAAATAACAGGTTACAATCGAAATTTTGATTTTTTTTCTTTGGAGAAAAAACTACATAAAAGTCAACAGTTGCTTTGGTTTGATTTGACGGAACTTTGATGTCATTAATCACATGAATAGACTAAAATACATGGATTTCTGTTTGCTACTGGATTAGCGAAGGTCAGTTTGGGAATGAAAACGAGACGGCATGAGCACCGCCGGTGTTTCTGTCATTAGGATAAGATAAAGGTAAAACGGAAAAGATATGAATGGCATCATAATCCAAAGAAAAGCCATCGGCACTCGTTTCATGCTGTTGATGTCTTCAGTTTGGACAATTTAATGAATTTTCCACAGAATGATTTACATTTTGAAGTGTTGTGAATTGTGCGAACTCAATGAGTGTAATTAAGAAACCAAAGCCCATTGAAATACACATTGTAATGCTGATCGATGTCGATTGAACAATTGCGTCTATTCATCATTTCACTTCGATATCAATTGATCACAATTCGAACTGTGTTGCTTCATTCCATTCGATTCAATCGTTTCTTCGCATTGTTTCACGTTATTTGATTGCCTTTTCTCTACGAAAATGTTCACTCGGATCGGTCGTTTGTCTCCGAAATATATCGTACATTTTATGTGGAATCGACAAACACAATCGAAAATATTGAGTACATTTTTCGGGTATGCATTCATTGCATCCATATATTTTACTTAGTATTTTCGAAATATGACGCTTTGTCTAGATTCATTTGTGAAGGTGGTACATGCACATGGCAAGCAAGAAAGAAAAAACAGCGAGAGAGAGTGAAAGAGAGGTAATCATGCTGAAACTGCAAGTGAAAATAAAGAATAAGAGTAACAACGTAAACGAAATGAGATTTTTTTTTCCTGTTATTGTTGTTGTTGTTGTCCAAAGAAATGCACCATGTTTTTTCCACAATTGTGCATTGTATTGAATCGAATATTCTGTTCTTCTCTGTCTCTCTTTCTCTCTCCGTTTCTTTTATTTGTCCAAATCTATTGTTATCACGGGGAAAAATAAAAGTTTCAATGCAGCATTATTATCATTACGACAAGATTTACTATAATGCCTTTTTGGTTGGTCGAGGTCGAAGCCGGAGCAAGGAGCATGAATTGAATTTTCTATCTCTCTTTCTTTCTCTCATTCTCTCTTTCTCTTTTGCTCTGTTTCTCTTATTCGTTCTCTTGAAAAAAAAAAGCGGTTTGGCATCGACGGTAACATTTTACTAACCGAAAAATACGATTTATAATCATATTTCATCGTTCGATTCTCGGTCGGTTCCAGCGATGCCAAGCACTGAATGCGATAATAGCTAACACTCTTCCGTCGTTTAAGTGCTAAATATCCCTGAGAATACATATAATT